GCTACCCCTAATTTTGGTTTTTGCTGTGGGATTTCTACTACTTATAGAGACGTCCGCAACAGAATTCAAGTATGTTTCACTGTTTATTCTCATCCCAAGTCCTCAATGTGAGACTTGTATTGCATTTCTGTTATGCCGTTCTTTGTTGTTTGTTTGTTTTAGCCCTAGGTCACATTAGGCTATCTGGTGTATACACCGTAAGGAATGTAACTCTGGACTTCAGCATTGTAAGTCCTTAAACTTGCCGCTCACCCACCAGGAGACGTTATACCGAGCAAATTACTATTAATTTATTCATTCTGTATGAACAAGAAGTGATATTTAGCAAATTAGCTAAATTTAAGTGATTTCCATAAAAACGAGGCACAGTTGCAATCATAAAACAAAATTTAGTCAATGTTATGTTTGGGTCTAGGTTTTACCAGATTGAAAATTTTAGATGAAAGGTGATAACTATTTTTATTGGACTAAATTTTCAATGTGAAATACACAACTTCGAGTGATTTATATATAAATAAGTTTACGCTAAATATCGCCTGGCACATCAACCTATTCTTTATCATTGTTGTTAGGTGTGTTCTTCTTTTCTTTAGGCCTAAGATAATTTTTACCGGTTTCATTTATTTGGAAAATGCAACATGACCTGTCACCATAAATTTAATCACACTATTTATGTCGTTAGTAACATTGAAAACATCTAATTTTACGAATTTTTTTATATTTTGCACAATTAATCTTAAAAGTACAAGCATATATAAAGTGATTGAACAATTAAAAGATGTTTTATGTCCTACTATTCTCCAACACCTGAAGCTCATAACTTTCACATAATACCTCAAATGAAGAACATTTTGTCTGTCCTTTCACCCAAGAATTTGGCTAAACTTATGGCGTTTAACATTTTTAGAGCTGTTACTCTCTATTGTGAAAACAAGATGTATTTGACTTTTTTTCTCGTTTTCTATCAGGTATTTTATATTTAGGTATATAAAACTTCAGATTAGTGCGTGTAAAATGTATGAGACACCCCCCATCCCCAGTAGCACATCGGTATGGCTGCGAACTTATAACGCAAGAAACCTGGTTTCGATACCTGTGATGGCCAGAGCACATATAGGCCATTATGTAGCTTTGTGCTTAACTACAAACAAATAATAAACTTATGATTTGTGACACCCTCTGGTAGTGAATCTCATATTTTAGAAGATACTATTGTTGCGTCAGCGAGGTCACGTGACTAGTATCACGCCACCTGTTTCTAGAAATATCCTGTTCCTTCAAGAATGCCCTAGCATTTACTAGATATGTGTTAGTCTTGTATATATAAGACGTTCACAACGTGACGGGACAGTGCAATGAGTAATTGAATGTATGCGGATAAAATATTGTTAGCCACGCGAGACGTGAGCGTTTGTTATAGAGCGACTGTTG